GGCGTAGTTATCTACTGAGCCATTGTCAGTTCTATTTTTTTCTTTCCATTTATATCGTATTATTCTTAGAAAATGTTTTTGGATATCATTTCGAATAATTTTTAATGAGATCAGTATATGTTTCTCTGCTAAACATTTTCACTTGGCAAGAACTTCGTGATTCCTGGTGAATTTGAACCCAAATAATTGAGAATTTATTTTAAATATGAAAATCAAAAATATTGATCTTCAGTCAGAAAAAATTTTAATCTTTCTAATCCGAAGTTTTTTCACATGGTGCGACAATCTTATTACTTTCTTTTGATGTGAGAAGTCATACCCGTTTATTCCCATTTCATTCTTATACTATTCGCTAGATCAATATCGATAATCGATGTATATATCGACATAGTAACTCAATTTAATTGTGACAAATCCGTTTTTCCATTTGCATTATAATAGAAATTTAGTGTGAAAAACTTGATTTGAGGACAAAGGTGGTCAGTAGCTGAAATGGTGGTCAGTAACCATCTGATTTCAGCTCGGCTTTCCAGCAACTACTTTCTTACAGTCTTAGTACAAACGTTGAAGCATTGAGTTTGATATGTAATTCTATTGAAACTGAATGAAAAATAACGTTGAGCTTTGCTGAGTTATACAATATCTTTAATTCCATAATAAGTATGTGTACAAGTTTAATTTTGGTACATCAATAAATGTCATAAGTGATTTAGTTTGTTCTGGTTATAGTAGGATATAATAATATAATAGCGAACATAATAAATTCATATAAAAATTAAAAACCATTCCAATGTAAACCCAAATAATTTTATGCTCTTTACTGTCTGTGTTCGCAGAATACAATAAAGACAGTCATAAAGTTTTACTCTCATTCTTTACTGACACCTACAGGCAATGTGTTAAAATATTCTTTTGTCCTATAAAATATATAATTAATTAAGTTTCCGTTCCAGTGAAAGTAAAGAAAAGCAAAAGCATTATAGAAAGGATTATAGAGTTTTGTTGTTACAGTTGCGAACAATAAAAATTTTTATTTTACTTTAAGGAAATTAAAAATTATTTTTATAATAATAATCCTTCTATTGTATCCATAATGTCTTCATAATTTTACGCTCCTTAGCAGAAATTATTTTAGCGACTTTATTAAAAATTTAACTTTTTAACAATGCTTTTGTTTCATCGGTTTGACATTCTTAAGTATCCTCATTTTTTGACATTATTCCGAATTCTTCTTTCTATCATTTTTGACAATTATAACTTTTGAGATGGTAAAGAGTTCGGATGTGTCGCTCGCAAACTGGAGGAATTATAAGTACGTGAGTGTGTTTTTAATAATTTAAAATTTTCATCCATCTGACTTGAGCAATTTATGTGTCTCCCAGAAGTGCCGGAGACTGTGTGACTTTAATTAATGCTAAAATATGCAATAACATCATTTAGAATTAAAACAATTTTCGGAGCAAATGTTGCGCCACAAATAAGAATTAAATAATTTTTCAAGCCATGTGCTTGAAGTTTTTTTTTTGAATTAATCATTTGCATATAAGCCAAAGTTCTTTTGGAAAGTATGTTTTCGACTAAATATGCAAAAAATATTTCGTTGATAGTAAAAATATTTTATAAAAATTTCTAAATTTCGGTATCAAATATAATTTAGTATTTTGAGTTGGAATACTCATAGGTTGTGTATTCTAATAGTGAATATATACATAAGAATTTTTTGTAAATCAATGCCAATGCAATATAAAAATATTATTTTAAATAATATATGAAATTTTAATACTTTACATATAATTTTTTTATTTTCACTACTCTTAATTCAGAAAAATTAAACGAATTTGTGTACTAGAAGCAATTTTTGTTGTCCTTCGTTTATTCCTTTAAATTATTTTTTATATACATAAATTTTTGCAGAATTTTTTAACATTTATCGAAAAGCATTTATTTGCATATATAAGTAAAATTTGGTTACACATCGACCCTTTAGTCATTGATGGATAATATCTTTACAGTTTTAAAACATATGCCATATAACAAGAATATTTTCTATCCACACATTTATGATTTTCTTTCACTTTCATATATGCAAATTTATTTTTTCTTTTGGGGTGATGTTTATCCTTCAAACTGAGGATTTTATAATTTAAGTTCACCGAAAATAATAAAAAAATAAAAAAGGTACTTACTATATGGTAAAATTTTTATGATATACATAATACATGCAATAATATTATATCCCTTATTAAAAGAATATAAACACGTATATTCGAATTTATCGCACATGCGATTTTGTATTAGTTTAGAGGAGGAATTTTAATTTAATCTAATTTTTTATATATTTCAAAATAATTTATTGACAATCTTCTGTGGTTATAAAACTAAATTATCTCCTTTTTCTAACAAATTCATCTTACAAAAGTGTAAGACTCATAAATTTCATTGAATTTCCAATATATTTTAACGGACCATAAAATAAGGTGTAATAGATGGTTTATGCATAATGAGATCCCGACGCAAAACCGATTGAAAATTTTAAAATATGTTCGAATGAAGACATAAATTTCTCCAAACAATGCAAAATCATATTAAATTATTTTGAATAGAAAAGTGAAAGTTGCTCATTTTAACTCTTTAATGGATAAAATAATTCTTATTTAAATAAATCGTTTTTTTGTGGATTGAATTAATTTTACTTAGTCAGGGTATTGCATTCTTTTCTTAGGTGAAAACTATCGAAACTCAGCGTGTGAGAGATAATACAGTGAAATCAAGTTTATTAATGATTTGTAAGAAGATGTATAGCAATCAGACTCTGAAGGTTCATTGAACTGTGAACCTCATTCCAATATTTTACAAATACTCTTGATTCCTTTTAAAAAAGATTCCTTTTAAAAGAACATTTGAAAGTGGTGAAGAACTGATGTTTAAGCAACTTACTATATCAGACTTGAGAGTTTAAGGTCTGCGTATTGCGATGTCGTCATTGTTCAAATAATATGGATTGGACTAATGTAAACTGTTTTTAGCGAGGCTAAGATTAAAGAAGTTTATGATGTAAGTGCTGTGATCCATTTATTAATTCGTTTAGTCCTTACGACATGAAGTCATAAGAAAATTTACAGTCTTTCCACTTATTTTAAATTATTTTGATAAAAAAGTAAGCAAAATTAGCAACAATTTTGGAAAGTTTAAGTAAGTAAAAGGAAGTTGCCATATTATTGTTATTGTCATTTGTAAGCCATTGTATAGTTTATCAGATGAATAAGCTTTAAGGACAAATTGGGTTTAATTTTATATATTTTATGGGATAATTGTATAGATATGCGCGGTTATGAGGTATAGATGTAAATGTTTACAATTTAACTATTATTACTTATTGACAATGCCATATTTAAGTGCATAAAATATACCTTTAAAGTACTGAAGCTTTCAGTGTCGTAAAATAAAATTTATATTTTTTACAGATGTAATTAAATACCATCTAAAGTAAAGCTAATAACTATTCACTTGACCAAAACTTCCACTTAACACATTTTAATTAATAAATTTTCTTTTCAGATTTTTATTTTATACTACCTTTATAGTCCTTGTTATCCCTTTTTTTGTTTCTTCATCAAAAAATATTTTATATTAAATGCAATTAAAAAATAAAATTTTGCTTTTTTCTTACTAAAAAAGTACTTCCCCATTTTTAATTTTCTTTTTCACACACAAAACAATCCAAATAAAGTAAGAGTAAGATTGATGCACTACAAGTGATGAAACTCTTATAGGAACCTCGTTTGGAAGGAGCCAGAGTGGTAAAAAATTTCACTCGAAATGCAATTTGAAAAGTTGTTTTTCTTATTGTTTTGGAAGTTGGTTTAAAACATTGTTTTGCTTCAGGAAAATCATTCTTTTATGTGCATATATAATACATATATAAATATATATTTAATAAAAAAACACACATATGTATATATTGATTTTATTTTATATTAAATTCGAAACAATACCATAAACTTCAATAAATACTAAATAACTTTAAAAATTGCTGTTGGATATTTTATCAATTTTTCAAAGGAAAAGTTAACTGTAGAAACTATGTTTTTACTATTACTTAACTTCATAGATCCAATTATATTTTAATTAACTTAAATGCAACAATTAAATGAAATAAGAAATGTTGTTATGTAGATCATTATTTGATATTTCACCTTCAGTCTGAAGTTTCAAAAAAATCATCATATTTTCTTATAAATATAAAATCTTGTTTAGGATTTAAAAATTTGTAATTAAAACTGTTTTTTCAGCTAATAATTTGACATAAAAATATTTATAAAATTATTAGTTGATTGACTTTTGAGATTTTATATCATAACAATAATTAAATAGAATAAAAATTTCTCTGAATGTGATAAAATTGATCTTTCTATACATTATATTTAGATTTATATGTATTATATATGTAAATTATAAGCGTTTTTATAATTGGATTTTATGATCTTTATTTCAATTTCTTTAACACAATGTAAATTATAAACGTTTTTATAATTGGGTTTTGATTTCATTTAATTTATACAATTGAATTTATACAATTTCGGTTATTGATTGTTTAATCACTTTTTTATGTGTACCCGTGTGTTGACACGTTCGCGATCGAAAAACAAGAGACAGAATCAAACCAACGGAGTTTACTTGCAGCCCAAAAAATATAACAATAAAATTTGCTCATCTCGAGCGCAAAAAACAAAAGGCAATAAAACAAGACTTAGAACCGTTGGTTTGATTACATCTTATACAGGGTTAGTTAGATAAATTAATTAACCATATATTAACCATATAAAATATTATATATATATATGAATTATATAATATATTAATTATAATAATTTAATTATACAATATGATTTACAATAGATTAAAATATAATAAATTATAATATATAAATCATATAACACATCAATTAATAATTCTACAGAATCCTACAATATTAACAATTTGACTTTAACCGCTCTAACATCCCGCCCCCCTTGAAAGGATTTTCAATTGGTAATAGTGCGAGTTTGTGGATTGGACGGCGTATTACTCCTTTTGGGGTTTGCACATCAACAACACGAACCAAATTATCTGGACCCCTGATGCAATGCACGATTCGGCCCATCAACCAGCGTTGTGGAGGCATATTGTCTTCATGGATTAAAACCAGAGCCCCCTCGGTGATGTTAGATTGTTCTTCTGTCCATTTGGTGCGTATCTGCAGCTCATTCAGATAGTCTCTAGACCATCTGCGCCAGAAGTGATGTTTGACTGCGGTTATACGAGACCATTTATCAATTAATGAAGTAGCTTCATACTGAGGACTTGGTTCAGATAAAGTTTTGAGCGGCCCACCGATAAGAAAATGTGCTGGCGTTAGCGCTTCATAATCGCTCGGGTCACAAGAATGAGGTGTGATTGGTCGCGAATTTAAGATAGCTTCGATTTCAATCAGTGCTGTTCCAAGCTCCTCAAAGGTGAATCGAGTATTTGATAATGTTCGATACAGATGGCCTTTCGCGCTTTTTACAGCCGCTTCCCATAGACCTCCAAAGTGAGGTGCTCGGGGCGGTATAAAATTGAAATTTATGAATTGGTTGCTGCAAAAGGTCTGCAGCATCACTTGATTAGACTTCTCGAAAAACATTCTTTTTAACTCTGCTAGTTTGTTGTTAGCCCCAACGAAGTTCGTGGCGTTGTCGCAATAGATGTCTGATGGTAACCCTCGTCTACCGATTAACCTTTTCAGTGCTGCAATAAATGCCTCCGTAGATAAGTCTGACACGGCTTCTAGATGAGCTGCCTTTGTAGACAAACAAACGAACACGGCTATATAGGTCTTATATGGAACCCGTCCCCGAATTCGGAGATACGTTAATATCGGACCGCAAAAATCTACCGCAGTACGCGCGAAAGGACGACTTGGAGTGAGGCGTTCGATTGGGAGATTACCCATCATTTGATTAAGTAGTTTGGGTTTATAACGCACGCAGTGAATACACGAGTGCACGACTCGGCGTGCAATTTCTCGAATATTAATTATCCAGAAGTTTAGTCGAGTAAGGGCAATTAGTGCTTTTGCGCCTGCATGATAGTTGCACAAGTGTATATGCCGAACATAAAGTTCCACAAAATAACAGCCCTTCGGCAACAAAATAGGGTGACGTTGGCCTACTGAGATGTCACTCAGCTCGAGGCGACCTCCCACCTTTAGTAATTGATAACCGAATACATTGTCCAGGAAGGGATTTAGATGCTTTAATGTACCTTCGGCTGGGTTCCCTCGTTGTAGGCGTTGTATATCAATTTCGAAGAATTGCTGTTGGATGACCCAAATAATACAGTGCAATGCCTTTTGTAGCTGAATAGGTTGGAGGGTACATTCTCCGTTCTTCAATTTATTCTTGGTTACATGATAAAAACGCTGTACCTGCGCTATTACTCGTAGCATCTTAGTGTATGAACTATATCTTGACAATACCTGTAATACGTAGTTGTCTTCATTTGTGTTAACGAATACAACCTTTCGCGTCTCTTTATTGACTTCTTCCATATCCAGGTTGTGACATTTCAAATGCGGCCAGTATTTATCAGCGAGTAACAAAAATTCCGGCCCCGTAAACCAACAAGACTCTGATAATTGGCGGATGTTACAGCCGCGCGACACAACATCTGCCGGGTTGGATTGGGTAGGAACGTGTCTCCATTGCCCATTTGCGGTAATATCTTGAATTTCCGCTACTCGATTGCCAACGAATGCAGACAGGGTTGATGAGTGCTGCTTCAACCAATGTAATACAATCTGTGAATCAGTCCAAAAAAACGTTTCACCCTTAAATTGCGCAAATATTGGTTGGACCTTCTGATACAGTTTGGCAAGAAGTAAGGCACCACAGAGTTCTAGTTTAGGTAGCGACTTCCGCTTTATAGGTGCCACACGGGATTTTGCAGTAAATAGCTTGACCGTCACCTTACCTGATGTGTTTTGTGATCGGAGAAATATGCAGCAACCATATGCGCGTATTGAAGCGTCACAGAAACCGTGTACATCAACCTGTTGATGGTTTATGGATAGGCAGTACCTCGGCACCTTAACCGATGAAAGCGTTGTAAGATCTTGAATAAATGTTTTCCAAGCTGAGTGAAGATTTTGAGGGACTGACTCGTCCCAGTCCACACGCAAAAGCCACAATTCTTGCATCATAATTTTGGCTACGAGTATGATCGGTGCTAGTAATCCAAGCGGGTCGAATAATGAAGACGCAAGGGATAAAATGGTGCGTTTTGTTACAATTTGACCTGGTTGCGCATTGAACGAAAATAGGAAAACATCTTGCATTTGGTGCCACTTGATGCCTAGGGCGCTGGTGACTGTATCTGTATCAAGATTCAAACTCTTTGTTGTAGTATCGCTGATGAAGTCATGATGGTTTGAATGCCATTTGTCAAGATCGAAGCAACCCTTCTGTAGAATGGCCGTTAACTGATGTCTGATATTGGTGAGTTGATCAATGGAATCTGCTCCACCTAAGAAGTCGTCGACAAAGAACGATGAGTTAATGAGTGCAGCGCCTATTGGGTATTGTGTTTCAAATTTGTCCGCCAAATACTGCAAACTCCTGGTTGCTAGGAAAGGTGCTGATGCAGTACCATAAGTGACTGTATTCAACTCGTAAGTACTAACAGGATCGGACTCCGTATCTCGCCAAAAAATATATTGGAATTTTCGATCTGGTTCATCTATCAGTATCTGTCGGTACATCTTAACAATGTCAGCCGTCAAGGCATATCGGTGCAAACGAAATTGAAGTAGCAACAAATATAACTCCGACTGAATTGTCGGGCCGACCAGTAGAATATCATTTAATGAACGTTGCGAAGTTGTTGGACATGACGCATCAAAAACCACCCTCAGCTTGGTCGAAGTGCTCGACGGTTTTAAAACACAATGATGAGGGATATAATAATGAGGTTCGTTGGTTTTCGGAGTCTCAACACGCGTCATGTGTCCGAGCTCTCGATATTGTTTCATGAATTCTTGATAGTCTTGCTTCAGTGCACGATTAGATGACCATCGCCGTTCTACAGAATAAAAACGGCGCAAGGCGATATTGTGTGTCAAACCAAGACAATCTGGTGAATCTTTGAATGGTAACCGAACGACAATTCTTCCCATCGCATTTTGGTGAACCGTTTCACGATATAATGACTCACACGCAACATGTGCTGGTGACCATGACTTTGAAGCCGATTGCACTTCCTCTATCTTCCACATCATTTCTAATTGATCGGAGACTGTATCTTCAACTGATAATAGGCATTTTGCTGCTGGTGATGCAAATGGCTGACCCTTGTACTTGCCAGATACAATCCATCCTAATAGTGTTTTTTGAAGTACTGGAAAATTTTCACCTAGTTTGATTTGACCGACAGACAAAATATCAAAGAAACTTTCAGCTCCAAGCAAGAGATCAACGCGCTTGGATTTAAAGAATTGCTCATCGGCGAGAGGTGTATTTGGTGGAACCTTCCACGACGATATATCGATTTCAGAACTTGGTTGATATGCGATGTGATTCGTAATACCAAAGTTTAAAGCAAGTTCAAGATTTGAATGACGAGATTTGATTGATGTGAGCGTCTGATACTTTATGTTGGTCAACGAACTACCAATACTGGAAACATGCAACCGATGTTTATGTTTTGCTAAACTAAGCTTCTTTGAAAACTCCTCCGTTATGAAGTTGACCTGAGAGCATGAATCAAGCAAGGCTCTACCCACTTGATAACTTCCCGATGAATCCTTCACTAAAACCAATGCAGTAGCTAGAATTATTTGCTCGGCCGATGACATATTAAGATGGGAATGGCTGGCAACGTTGTCGTTGGGCATAGCAGCGTGTTCTGTGCGTCGTGATGATCCCGCGCTCTTAATATTCGTTGGCAATTGCGAATGATGCAAGAGAGTGTGATGTGGCTTTGCGCAAACCTTACATTTAAACGTTGATGTGCAATTAACCACATGATGGCGTGGCGATAAGCAGTTTATGCAGAGTTTTAGGCTCTTTACCTTTTCAAACCTTTGAACCACCTCCAGTGCCTTAAAACGATGACAATTCTGTATTAGGTGTTCATTGCTAGAACAAAATGAGCAAGAATTGCTGGATGTAGATGCAACAAATGCGTATTGTTTTGAGCGTCTGTTACTCTTGGAGTTAAGATTATTAGGTTTACGTTGTGATGATGACTGATTGCCGTTTTCACTGTCGAGTGATTCGAGAAACTGGCAATGCCTATCCAATAATTTTGAGCAATCTTCCCAACTAGGTAATGTGTCGAAGTTACGCGATTCATTCCATTTCCTACGTGTAATTGCGTCCGTTTTTTGCATGATTAGCGAGATAAGTAGAGCCTCACATATTTGTTTCTCTGTACCTAGCGAACAGAGTGAACCATACAAAGCGGATGCATTGTTTACCAGACTACGAAGTTGTTGGCTTGACTGACCCGATACTGCTGGTAGATCAAATAGTGTCGCGATATTTTCGGCGAAGATTAGGCTATTATTGTCATAGCGCGATTTAAGCCTATCCAGAGCCTTTGGATAGTTTTCATTCAAAATAGGAAATGCCTGTACTGTCTCTAGAGCTTGACCAGTAAGGCAGTTCAGTAAGTGATTAAATTTTTCAATATTTGTGAGGTATATTTCGCGATCTATGATTTGGAGAAACGAATTAATAAAATTGTTATAATCCGAGTACTTACCACTGAATGTAGGTAATTTTAACAGTGGTAATTTTTTACTTGAGGTGGGCATCATTGCTGTTACGTCTAGCACTGATGCATTGTGGACCTCTTCCTGCAGTTGAGACATGATTAATATTTTGGTGGAAACGTATAGGTCTTCTAATTCATCTCTAGCTGAGTCAGTTGCATCTAATTTCTCGATCAACGTCTGAAAAGCTAAGATTTGTTTAAAATATGATTCTAAAATACCTAGTCGACATTTCAGTTCTGGTTGTGAGAGCGAATTACTCTTTCCTTTGACGAACGCCTTGATTCTTGAAATACTCGCTTTCGTCGAGGCTCGCTGTTGTTTTAGTTCTGACAGTTCTGCCGTAGTGGTTGGCTCTGCCGTTGCCATTGAAACAGTTGTAGATACTTGAGAACAGCAAAGGATTTGACGAAGTCGAAAAGTCACAATAGCAACAGTGAGCTTTCCGAAATTGAACTGCTCTTACGGTGGTTGTTGTCAGACGCGACGTTGACGAACCCGCACACTTACTGATTGGAAGCAAATATTAACCAGTAATCAACAAGTAAGTTAACTTGTTGTTGTTGTTGTTGTAATTGTTCAGCGTGACCTTGATGCGGACACGAGGTTCTATTTGGCGCTTAGCAGAACCTAAGCCGAGAACCATAGAATGCACAATAGTACACACGTACGATAGTATATAGTATATATGTACAGATGTACGATATTATTAAAGTTAGCACACTT